GCATGGCACTGGGGAAGCCAACCAATCAACCGCCTCAACTCACACACTGCGGAGAGTGGGAAGAATTTTTAAGATGATGTTTCTCTTTGTTGCACTGATGTCTTTCTTTGTATTTTCATTTTGTAACCCATGCAGCAGACCACTTTCACATACAGTTAAGCTAACTTGCCCTGGCAACATCCAGGGTTGTTTTACAAAACTCTTGAGGGATACTGAGGGTTTAGGCACAGGAAGGGTCCAGGAAGACCAGACACAGAACATGCCAGAGAAACACACACAGCACACACAGCAAGAGGAGGGTGAAGCAAGCTCTCTGAAGACCCTCCTCAGAGTTACTGCTGAGCCTCTTCCATTTCCTTCTTTTTAAAAATATATTTTATTGATTTTTCTACAGAGAGGAAGGGAGAGGGATAGAGAGCTAGAAACATCTATGAGAAAAAAACATCGACCAGCTGCCTCCTGCACATCTCCCACTAGGGATGTGCCCGCAACCAATAGTACATGCCCTTGACCGGAATCGAACCTGGGACCCCCTCAGTCCACAGACCGATGCTCTATCCACTGAGCCAAACTGGTTTTGGCAACCTCCTCCATTTCTGCAAAGAGAACGTGAAAAGGAGTGTCTCCTCCAAGAAGTCAAGCCCTGCCATGGCGGGGTTCCCACTAGGGGACCCCAACAAAGCCTTGAAGATCCTGTGAAGACCAGAGCAAATGTCCTGAAGACTCGCCAGCCGAGATCAAGAGGAAACATGCCAGATAGCAACTGCAACATCAAAGAGCAGGAGAATTCTTCAGGAATCTGGATGAGGCCCTTGGATGGGGGAAGAAGCATGCCCCTTCAGGCTCTGGCACAAGTAAGTGCTTGCTCACGGAATCAACAAATATTTCTTGAATGCTTTCCAGGTGCTGAGCATCGTGCTAGGAGGTAAAGAATCAAAGATGAATGAGAGCCAGGGCCTGATCTCTGAAAACTCATAAATTAGAAATCGGGACATTGCTGTAAACAGCCTCCAGGACCTTACTGAGCCCCAACCAGTATCTGGGTACAAGGTGTTCTTTCAGTAGCCTAAGTGAGGTTTTCATTTTCTGTGCTTCATTTGATGGGAGAGAAGGAGAGGGAAGAAGGAGAGAGAAGGATCATTAAGACCCCAAGTGATCCCTGCCCCAATATACGAAACCCACACACCAGTGACTGGAGTCATGCCTTTACCTCAGCTCTATGTTCTCCTCCCAGGAATATGAACACTCTGGAATCTTGGGCTTCTCTTTAATGATCTTAAAATCCAACAGAAACTGGAAAAATTAAAACTGGATTTTGAGAACACTTTTCTCTGAATAGAGATGTCCTAAAAGCATACTTTAGGATATGATCACAGAGATGGTGTTTCTGTGTATTTAGAGAAGACCTTGAGGCATCAAGAACACCAAAGGCATTCTTTTGGAGATGGAAGCACTAGAGCTTAAGGGCTGTGCTAACATAAATTCTTGTATCCCTAGATCAGGAGAAAATACAAGACACAGAGTCATACATGGGGTATGTATCTGAAGGAGGCTCTGGGCATGCTGGTGGTACTTTGGCCACTCGAGTAGACTCCTAGAATTTACACGAGTTTGAAGAAGGACCAGGAAAGCATTCATGAAGATGGATTTGGCGTTTTGGCATGAGACAGTGAGATGGGGGAGTTTCCTTTTGCAAACACCGCACAAGTGCACACAAAACCTATACATTCCCAGCAGGAGTGCACAAGAGGGCAGATATCTTTACACAGCTAATGCCCTCTGTCCTTGAACCCTTGAGAGTAGCAACTTCTTATGAGGAACTAGGATGCATGCTATCATACTAGGTGAAAAAGTACTTCTCAGCCTCAGTGGCGATGCAGAGAGGTAGCTTGGGAGGCCTCAACCCCCTCTTCCTCTTGGATATGGACAACTGGCATTTTCTCCTCCTGATATAATGCGGTAGGCAGGCAACCTTAGGGGCATGTCCCTGCCACCTCCATCCTTCTAGCTTCTGTGCATAGAAATGAATGAGCCATTCCTAGTAAAATGGTGGCTGACATTTCGGCATCCCCTTTCCACATAAAAGGTGGTCACCCCTAGAAATTCATATTCGAAGGAGGCTTAGCTTATTGCAAATAGTGACGTGTGTTGTGATGGAGGATGCTTGGATTATTCAGAAATGAACGGAACAAACAGGTCAGCCTGGGGAGAGAAGAATCCAGTGAAGCCTTCAGGGTCACCAAAAGTGTTTGTACTGGGTGTGTGCATAAGAATGATCCCGGATGAGACCTGGTCCATGCACAGAGGATGAGACAAAAAATGGCAGCTGCTCTCTCCCTTCCCTTCGGAGCCCTCACAAAGGTGAACATACCTTGTTCTCTGAGGAACCTCACATCTGCCATAATTCATTTAAAATAAGCATCCTTTGGAGATATTTAGTGGGAAAGATGAAGGTGTGGCTGCTATGAGTCTGTAGCTTCAGTTCTGATTTGGCAGCAGCCCGGTGGCAGCTCCTGGTGAGTCCCTGGGGATTAATTTCTGCTCCTAGCATCTCTTATCAGTTTGAATCTGAGCTATCTCATCTGGACCAAAGATCTCAAAAGACTGTTCATCTCCATTACATGGATCCACTGGTAGATTCTGATTATCCTGCTCCTCTCCCCTTGATCCATCTTCTGTTTCCATAGCAGCTAACAACCCTGGTAAAAGGAAGCTTGTGAGCCAGGCGCAGGTAAAGTCCCCCGGGGAAATGAATCTGCTTGATAGCCCCCAAACGGGAAAAGTAGTGTAAGGCACAGTGGTGCGAACTTCAGTGAGATGAACAGAAGAGGGCTCCAATGTCAGAAGGAAGACACAAGTCATTGTGTAGAGAAGAGAAAGAGAGGGGGGGGAAACATGTGGGGAAAATGCAATTAAAGTGGAAACATGTGGGAGTCTGAGAGAGAAAGGAAAGCAGAGGACAAAAGGAAAAGGCATCAAAGGGCAAGACAAAAGGAGAAGAGGCCCCGAGGAGAAGAGAGAAAGGAGGACACGAGAAAAGGCCTCACACAGAGACAGAGGGAGACCTGCGAGAGGGAGGCCACAGGGCCTCTGCCTGGCAGAGGGCGAAGCACGTCTGGCTGGGATGATAAATACCCTGCAGAGTGGAAGGCGCAGCAGCCCTGGCATCCAGGAGCCCTCGGGACTCAGCATTAGGCAGCGCTGACTGGTTTACACCAAGGTCTTCCAAAGCCTGTCCATGGGGGCCCCTCCTTCACAGGTACCAGGGCCACCTTCCATCAGTGATGATCTCATACACACCTGAGGCCTCCTCCCGGATGGTGGGCCTATACTCACTTAACATCATTTCACATCAGGAGACTGACAGAGACACGGGAGGCTCTCTGATGCCTTTGCTCATGGGGGTAGCCTCAGGAATGATGGCCGGGGGCAGCTCCTGGGACTCGAGCCCAACACTGAAAACCTCATGCTTTTTCCAAAGACCTCTAGCAGGGCAAATTGTCAATGTCTACGAGAGGGGATTTGGTATTCAGGGCCTCTCATACCCCTAACTGGCATTTTAAAATCTTCCCAGGTATAGTGGATGCTGATGAGCTGCCCCCTCTGGGAAGAGAGGATGTCTGCCCCAGGGGTGCGGGATGCTGGTGGTGGACAGCCCTCACTCAGGTGCAGCTTTACGGGGATCGTGACATGTGAAGAGATGCCTGGCCCAGGTCACAGACTTTTTGAGGGCAACCCAGCTTCAGGACTGCTGTGCCAGCCCCCTTGCCTCCAATAAAGAACATGCGTGAAGGGTCACCCTAGCTTCAGAATGCACCATCTCGTGAGCTGAGATATCGCACTTGACCGCAGTGCAACTCAACTTCTCCACCTGCCCAACCCTCTTCCTTCTCTTTCCTTCCACAAGGGTTGATTCCAAGAGTATCTTGAATAAAATTCGTACGCGCTTTTGGGGGACCTGACCTGCAACGCCAAGCAAATAACTACCACAAGAGTTCCTTTGGCATCCTTACTACTCAGCAGTGCTCATACCTTCATGCATACATCCATATATGGATATTCACAATAAACAATGAAAGTAAGGCTCTTGATTCATGTCTCTACTTAAAGTTGCCTTCTCAAAGGCCTTCCCTGACCAAACCTCTTCTCCTTCAGTCAATATACACATTTCTATTTTCTCATCCTTATCACCACCTTGTGTCTTGTATATTCATTTTTTGGTCATTTTCCTCATGAGAATGTGATCTTGTCTTGGTTTATTGCTATATCCTCCATGCGTAGATGTGTGCCTAGACTATTGCCAGCATTCAAGCGATATTGAAACACAAAGAAAATAATTTAATGTACCATGACTAAAAGCCAACTTAATGATACATGGCATCTACTTAAATTCTAAATGTTTAATGTTCAATCCATGAAAGCACAAAACAACTCTTAGTCTAGTCTGGTCTATGCAATATCTAATCATCAAGAAAAAGTAAATTTTGCAATTTGACCACCTTGGATTAATCACAGTAAAGCAACAACAAAACTACAAAACAACTAATGAAACAGAGACCAGATAGCTGGCAATGCTGAACAAATTCCAATTTGGAAATTGTGCATTTAGGAACATGGCCCTTTGGAGCTCTCATTGATTTGGTGTTTGTGCTTTCTATCTCTTAAAACAACCAGCTGAACAATGCCGTGAAAGTGCATTGTCCAATATCAAATGTGCCCAGTGACATTTTCCCAGAACATCTTACCCCCATTGCATCTACCACCAGCTGGGACGCAGTTCCCAGGGATTGAAAGGAGCTCAAGCATGGCTGCTGAAATCTTAGATGAGAGGCCTATCTTTCGGAGAATACCAAATCCTCCGCAGAGCCACGAGCATTGTTATCAGGCTACCAACAACCAAGGAACTTTTGGGTGAAGTCACCAGCACCGTGACCTCATAGCTGTGGCCAACAATTCTCCCAGTTCCTTTCACGACACAATGCACCAAACTGCTCTCTTACCTTTGGGGGAGATGTGTCTCCAGGTAACCGTGGGCTCCGGTCTGCCCGTTGCTATGCAGGTGAGGCTGATATTGTTTCCTTCGTTAATGGAGATATCTGAAGAAATCTCTACAATTTTGGGAGATACTGTGGAGACAAAAGCCAGTGGAAGGAAAATAAATATCCTGTGGAAACATCTTTGTTGTCTCACAATAATAGCTGGCAGAATAGCTCGGGGACTGAACTATAAGGGTTATGGGAACAAATGGAGAGAAATTAGAGGAATTATCTTAAACATAAAAGAAACAGCTTGCCTTGAATTTATTGTCTATTTCCTCCTGTCTAAACCCAGAGTCAGGAAGTATTGATGAGAATGGATTTCAATGCAACACTATTGTCCTCGCCTCCATCCTCTTCCTGTCTGTACCCTCACCCAAGTCCCCTCTGACACTCATCCACAAGTCATTCTCCACACTTCATTCAGAGTTGATGGAATACAGTTCCGAGCGTGTCACACCTCTGCCTAAACACTTCCAATTATTCCTTATTGCCCAGCTGATCATATCCACCCACTTCATCCTAGGATAGCAGGCTGTTCAGGATCAAGTGTCAGCCTATGTTACCATTGGTATTCCCACTGATTCTACCTCAACTTATCCCCTTGTCACCCCCAACACATCATACCCTTCCTGATAATTAGGCATTTGGGGGTTTATATTGCTTCTTTTGTCCTTCCTAAAAAACTTCCAGTCATCCTTTAAGGTGCAAGTCAAATGTTACTTTGTTGCAAATTTTTTAAAAAAATATTTTTTTCATTGATTTCAGAGAGGAAGGGAGAGAGAGAAATAATGATGAGAGAAACATCAATTAGCTGCCTCCTGCATGCCCCACTGGGGATCAAGCCCACAACCTAGGCATGTGCCCTGGCTAGAAATCAAAGTGTGACCTCCAGGTTCATAGGTTGACACTCAACCCCTGAGCCATGCCAGCTGGGCAATGTTGCACCTTTTCTAACCCCTGTACTTCTCTGCCCTCCTGCAGGACTTTACATGCCAGCTTCTCATCTGCCTACTCACAGCCTGATGGTGAATTATAATAAAAAATCCCTTTCTCTCTTTGATGCCTAAAATAATTCCTCAAAGGAAGGGAGGGGTTTGATTTAATTGGTAAATTTGGTAACAGGAACCCCACTCTGTTCGGTCTTTAGTTTGGGGGCCAGGCTCCCAATAAGAAGCTACGTTCTGTTGTGGTCATCCTACTTCAAGTGTCCCAGGCCAATGTTCCACAGGTGTGAGAGGGCCATAGCACAGCCAGGAGTTTTCTGTGGGCACCCATCTCATCTGGGGTTCTGAATTAGGAGCTAATTGTTGCTACACACCTAAGCTTAATTCTCCAGTATCATCAAAACTAGTGAATGTGATATTCAGTCCGTGCATGACTCTTCATTTGTCTTCCAATTGGTTTATAGAGTAATAATGTCACTTGGCACCTATCCCACTATGCAATGGTTATTGGCTTAGCATCTCCCATCCACTAGACCATGAGCTTTTTGATGGCCTGAGCCATGACTTACTTATATTTATATCCATAGTCAAAGCTCAACAGATATTTATAGGATGGGGATTATAATGGTTGTTCCAGCACCTTCCCAACCTGCTACACATTTTAACAACCTCAGAACCGGATCATTAACACACACCATTTCAGTTCTACTGACAGTGGATTTGACTCATTAATTCTTCACAAATTAACTGGATCCTCCATCCAGCTCTCTTAAGTTTCTTCACGTTAGTTTCTTTCCTTGAATAAACACCTGTCAAAGCCACCACAGTGGGCAATTCTGGGGCACATCATCTACCAGCATACAATGCCATCTGGCCTCCTGGAGGTCCCAGGGAACCTGACCATCACCTTCATGCCCTGTTCCAAGGCCAGAGTGCAGCCCTCACATGGAAATGAGATGGTTGGAAATTTCAGGGCTCATCTTTCCTCTGTCTGAAGCATTGATCCAGCACTTTTAATTGCACTGGATTTCATCCTTCACACAAAAGGAGATATCAAGAAGATGTTGCCGAAACCGGTTTGGTTCAGTGAGTAGAATGTCAGCCTGCAGACTGAAGGGTCCCAGGTTCAATTCCAGTCAAGGACATGTACCTTGGTTGTGGGCACATCCCCAGCAGGGGGTGTGCAATGGCAGCTGATCGATGTTTCTCTCTCATTGATTTTTCTAACTCTATCCCTCTCTCTTCCTCTGTAAAAAATCAATAAAATATATTTTTTGAAAAGAAGATGTCTTCCCTTAGCCTGTGTTCCTCCTTCTCCTTAAAATATTCTCCCACTCTTTTCCACACTGCACACACTGGGCAGCTCATTAATAGGCACGAGTTCACATTATTTCCTTGTCCTCATGCCCTTGATGCTGATTTTGATCTCTTAGACTCTTCTCTCCAACTACCTATAATATATTATTGGAATTGTTCAAGGCCTAGTTGTGTTACTGCACCTTCTAGAAAGTCTTCTGTATGATCTCCAAAGGGTGTGGCCTTTCTCTTCCTGAGGATTCCATAGCTTTTTCAAAGCATTTAAATTAATCTCTTTTGTTACATTTTCTCATCTGTTTTCTATGCTATGAATTATCTGAAGATGAGATATTGAGCAAGAGCCTTACTCATTTCAAAACAAATTCCGCTGTTCTGAATAGGATGTCTTCCGTAAAGGAATGACCTTAATAATTTTTATTACTTTTTTAATCCTCATCTGAGGATGGTTTCCATTGATTTTCAAGAAAGGAAGGGAGAGAGGAAAAGAGAGAGGGAGAAAGAAGGAAGAAGTGAGGGAGAGGGGGAGGAGAGAGAAAGAAATGTCAATGTGACAAAGAAACAATGATTGGCTGCCTCCCGTATGTACCCTGACCTGGGATCAAACCTGCAACCTGACCTGACCAGGAATTGAACCCATAACATTTTGGTGTATGGGATAATGCTCCAACCAACTGAGCCACCGAGCTAGGGCACAATCCATCATTTTTATGTTTAAATTCACATTATGTTCAGATAGAAAGGCAGTGTGAGTGTGTGTGTGTGTGTGTGTGTGTGTGTGTGTGTGATTGCACATACATTTACCTGTACTCTCACAGGTATTTGGTGGGACAAAAACAATAGAGAATCAGTATGATGAGGGTTGAGGAGAGAACACTGGGTCTTATCATCCAGGACTTCTAAGACATAATGTTGCAACTAATGGCTATGTCACTTTAAAAGCTAGATTGATTCTTCCAAGACAGAATAATAATTGATGAGTTAATGACAGAACATCTGATTGGCTGACTACCTGAAATATCCACATTTCTGAATTCTCTTAGTTCTAAAAGCATTTAAACTTGGTGGAATTTATTCAGTGTTTTAACTGGAGCATTCAGTTCTCCAAGCACCACTCCGCCAATCCATACATCCTCCTGGCCCCTGCATCTGGCCATCCTTGGCAGCCATTGTCTTGCTTGCTTCTCAGAGGACAGGCTGCCTGCAGAGTGACAATGGTGGCCTTGCAGACAACGTTCCACTGTGCAGGTGAGTAATTTATGGATCTGGAAAGCACTCCAAGATGCTCTGCAAGGGATTATGTCACACCAACGCCATGCAATAAAATAAAAAATGATGGACTTTGCGAACACAGCTTGATTTAGGGTTTACAGTTGGAAGTGTGCTTAAAGTACATTTTAAGTGGAAATCAGGTCGAGTAATGAATTACTTTTGCTTTGGAAAGGCTTCCTGGAAGTTCATTTTCCTGGCTCCTTACATGATAGCTAATACGCTAATTATGCACTGGAGAACAATGGACAGTCCCCAAGTAGATCAGAAGGTGGTTTGGGCCAGAGCTGTCAGCAAAGTCAGTATATTAAATGAGACAATCACATCCCATCCTTGGAAGAATCATCGAGAATCGTCTCCCTCCCCACTAAAAACTGGAAAACATCCAACTCACGAACTCGAAGTTGGTGAAATGCTTGCTGTCCTTTGAATCCTGCCTGAGAGTGTAACCTAAAGGTGGAAAATTACCCCTGGGCAAGATTCAGAAGCCACCCATTCATGGCCACTAGCTGAGGTGTTTGACCAGAAGTACACTCCCCACTCTCAGAACTAAAGCAGAAGCCACTAGATGTTCCTAGTGGAAGCATGAAAATATGAAGTCTGTACTACAGGATGTAATAGAGAGTACTGGTTGAGACCCTGGCTCTTTTTTTGTTCAAACTGGTTGACCTTAGCCAAGCTACTTGACCTCTCTGTGCCCTCTTTATTCATCCCTGCCATAGAGTTGATAATCACATGTCTTTCACAGAGTTTATTTGAGAATTTAAGGAATAAGTTTATTAAATACAGTTAGAGAAGCTCCTAGTAATATCAAGTGTTCAATAAGTGAGTTTTAGATTGTGTGCGCTTGGCAAACACATGTATATATCTTCAACAAAGATGGAGGATCAATGCATTGTAACCGACTCAAGGAGGAATAAAATACAAGATCAATGACTAAATTAGAGCTAGATTATAGAATGGCCTAAATAGCTAGGTTCTGAATTTTAACTCTATCCTACAGGTAATTGCAAGCTTCAAAAAAAATTTTAATGGAATACTGTACATTTTAAATTTACTTTAAGCAAAATAACCGGGTAATGATGCATCCCAGTGAAAACAGAAATTGGAGTCAGAGAAAATCAATCTATATGAGATTTCCAAGGCCTGGGTTAAATAGTTGCCTCTATAAGAATGGAGGGGAAAGGTGGATTTGAAAGCATTGCCATGGGAGATGAGCCAGAGCCCGCTGGTACCCTCGATGGGGGAATAGGAATACAGAATCCAATATGAACACCACTTTAATCAAGAGCAGCTAATGGCTGAGCTAGCAGATCTCTGGGTAATATAGGGAGAACTAATATTGTGGAGATCAGTCTAACTACTTTGATTCTGTTTTAGACATCTATAGTGAGATGACAAGGGGTAGTTTGATTGGAATGATACAATCAAAGGTCTTGGGTGAGGTCTGAGATCTACTAAGAGTTCATGGTTTCATAAAAAGGCACTCACCTTGTTTCTACAGACATGCCTGCCATAAATCTAGAAAACACACACATGTGGACACAGGGAGACCGGGAA